AACTCGCATGTCCAAAGCTAAGGAAACACTCCTCTACAGCAGCTCTGACATGGGGTGGGAGGACAGGCCCTTGGCTACCATGTAAACACCCCCAATGGTGAGAGTGATGGGAGAAGATGTCCCTTTTGGGGCTAAATTAGAAAAGACAATGAGAGCTTGGCATGGTGTGTGGGCTACATGGCTGCTGAGTTCAGTGGCTGGAGCAGGCCAGTCAAGTGACCAACGTGAAGACTGAATCCCTGTTGTTCAGGAGAGCTCGACACTTGGACGGGGGGGAGGAGGAAATTAGGGAGGGGGTCAAACAGTCAGCCAAACCTCTACAGAGGCCAGAAACCAGGCGGCCTTGCTCTGTTTCCCTGCACCATTACCAGTTTGTGTGTGTGCGTGTATGTAAAACAATGCGACAGACAGAACAGACTGCTTCAACTGTGTGTGTTGGGGAGAGGTGTACGTCGTGTGTAGTGTGTGTCGGGGGAAGGGTTGTTGTGTGGGTGGGAGGTTACTGTGTTGTGTGTGTGTACTGTGATGTGAGTGCACATATGGTGTGTGGTATGGTGCTTGTGTGGAGGCTCCAGGAGAAGGGAGGGAGGGAGTGGAGGGAGGCCTGGCCACACACTACTCCTTGGAGTGCCTGCCGCAGTATCAGGCATCTGCCCTGTTTCCCAACACACCAGAAGGCAGGAAGCTTACTTCCCCTTTTCCCTTGCCTTCTGGCTCCTGCACTGGCTCCCCTCACCCTGGCATCTCTCTATGGGCCTCAACACCCTTACCTGCTGCAGGTAGTGAATGACAGCCCCGATGGCCTCCTTCATGATGCTTACAAGCTGCACCTTCTGGGGCTCCTTAAGCAGGGACTGCTCACAGCGGGTGCACTCCTGGATGCCCAACTCCATGAGGGCATAGCAGGCGGTCACTACATCCTCTTTCACCTCCGAGCCTGTCTCCTCCAGTGCCAGCCGCACCTCCACGCACGCCAGGTTCACCAGCAGGGCCAGGAACTTGCTCCCCGAGCTACCCGCTGGGATCCAGTCAGAGCCGCAGGCGTGTGCCAGGCGGGCTGCCAGCTTCAGCGCAGGATTGCGCTGCCAGGAGCTCAGCTTGCTACCAAGGATGCGTGCCAGCCCGGCCTGCAGATCCCGGAGGCATTCAGGGGGCACGGTTGTTGGGGGCAGAAAGAGGGGCAGCAGCTGGCAGAGCTCAAACTTGCTGGCATCCTCAGCTTTCTGGAAATCCTCGCTGAGGCCTCGCAACACGGCCAGCAGGTCCGGCTCTGCCTCCTTCCAGCACTGGGTCTCAGCAGCAGCCAGCAGCCCCACCAGCAGTGCCAGCGCCTGGTCAAAACCATAGCCATGCCCCAGGTACGCCTGACACAGGGCAGACACGGTGCCACCAGCAATGAGGTGCCGGGGCCCACGGGGTGTGCCTGCCACAGCCGTCAGGCATTGGTAGGTGTCGTCAATCATGGAGCGGCGGGCAGCGTCGTCTGGGTCCCCTCGGGCTGTGAGGAAGGTGCTAAGGATAGGGATCTTGTTCAGGACCTGGGGATGGGCGGCTAGCTCAGGGTCACTGCAGAAGCAGGCCAGCAGGGCAACACCCAGGGCCCGCAGAACGTGGTCGGGGCAGCCATCTGGTGCCTCCTTGGTGGTCAGGAGGCGATTGGGGAAGGTAAAGCCGACGGCATCAAAGATTCGCCGACGAGTTTTCGCATCGATGTCACCTGCTTTGACTGCCTTGGTCACCTATGGGGGGGATGTACTGTCAGCAGGATGAAAAAAAGAGATGGCCAAGACTGTCCCTTCCCTACACCCTGGGACATTGAGGACTAGCAGGATTAGTTTATGCAATGGGATTCACTCTGGGTCAGGAAGCCTCCCAAAGATCATCTCATTCAGCTCCTTCCTCCTCCCTGGAGGCAGAGAGGTGTGGCCTCTGGGATCCCTCTCATCTAAGATCACCTCTGTGCAAGGAAGGTCCAGTTCTCCTCAACCACTCATTGTGATGTCTTATCACCTGGTCAGTCGGGAAGGTCTTCCTGATGCCTAATCTAGATGCCCACAACCTGACTTGGAAGGGAGTCAGAACTCAGTGTTTAAAATCCCCCAAGGATTTAGGGTCCTCCCTAATTGCTCCCTCCAGAGAAGTCTCTGATCCATTCCCGCCACCTTCTCAGGAGAAATGGCTCCTGTGTCTCCCTGCTCCACTGTCAAAACATTTTCTCTTAAATTTCACCTAAACACCTCCTCTGCTGCAGTGTGAGCCCTTGACTCCAGAGCCTTCTCCCTGTTGCCATGGCAAACAAGCAGCGGCTCTTCTCCCTCCTCCCTTTGCCCCCCACACACCAGTCTCTCCCCCCTTACCAGCATTGCAGCTCCTGCTCTGCTGTCCCCAGCTTGGGTTGCTCCAACAAGGCTAAGCCCCAAACCAACTCCATTATCCTCAACCTACCTATTGCCACCCTGGCCAGCCTTTAGGGTCCCTCCCCAGTCACTTCCAGTCCTGCTACTCTCTCCACCTCCAGAGCAGCCATCCCCAGCCCTCAAGTACTCCGCACTAGTTACTACCTGCTGCTGTTACCCTATGAGTCAGCTCCCATCTGCTCTGGGACGCCCCAGAGAGCAGCTCAGGCAGCTTCCTCCAGGGCCCCAGGGGCCACAAACCTTCTTCACTTCCATTCTCCTCTTTGCCCCCATTCTCAGAGGAGCAAAAAGAGTCCAAAGGAAGGGGTCTTGGGCCCTCTTTGTAGTCTCCAGGGTCCCAGCACCAACTATACATCTTTGAGGACTCACTGACCCCATTCCTAGGGAGCCCAACCACCCAACCCCTCCCACCTCCCAATTTTCAGCCAGTTCCTTACTAGCAGCAGGGCTGCAAACTGCTCACTGTCATTCTTGGCCTCACGGAGGGCTCCCAGGTAGCGCTCCAGGGTGGGGTTCCGGCCCTCTGCCTGGTTCAGAGCTGGCTCACAATCCGAGGCCATGGTGCCCGCCTTGCCCAACTGTGAACACAAGAGGGACTAAGCATCCCTCTGCAGAGGAGGGGCAGGGGCGGGGGCGGGAGTGGAGGATGGAGGGAGGGATTAGCACAGAGGGAGGGGAGAACCTGGGGAGGTGGGGTACTCAGGACTGACCTCCCTCAGGGGAGCCTCTTTAAGGGGCTGGACCTAAAAATCTTTGGGGATGAGGAAGGAACCCTGGTCCAAGGTCACCTCCAGAAAGCGGGAAAGAAGGACCATGTATCCTGCTGCTCAGCTGGACAGCTCTCCTCACCAATCTACTGGGGTGGGAGGGGACCGGCCCCACTGCTCAGCTGCCCCCTGGCACCAGAGGCCCGGTTTTATCTCCCTCCATCAAGGCACACGGGGGAGGGTGTGGTAAGGACAGACAGGGAGGAATGGAGACATACATGCGTGAAGTTCGATTATCCGGATTCAGGCTAAGGATTCAGTCTAACACAGGGGAAAAGGGCATCCTAGGCTGCCTTTCTCCTCCCTTCTTCAGAAGACGCAAGGAATGAGCTTCAGCAGAAGTGAGCATGCAGGGTGCAGACCAGGGAAGGCCTGGAGTCCCCTCTGGAGACCCCACTCCTCCAGCCAGGGCTCACAGACGCCCCCGCAGACTCCTTGCCTCCTCTCCTCTCCCTCCCTCGGGCAGAGGCTGCAGCAGCAGAAGCAGCAGCAGAATTAACCCCTTGGCTCCCTCTCCTCGCCCTCCCGGCCCTGCTATCAGCCTGTGGATGCTGGCAGAGGTTGGAGAAGCAAGAAGGGGTCCCGGGCAGTTCCCAGGACAACAGAGCATCCAAAAGCCGGATAATCGAAGAGGGGCTGCTGAGATGGGGAGATGAGAAGGGGAGGAGGGTTCCTGGCGGTCACCACCTGTCCCGCCGTAGCCAGGTCACAACACGACATTGATGAAGTCACGACAGGGCAGCGATGAGATCACACTTCACGATGGCGCGGTGATGTCACGGAGAGATCACGGCAAAATCACGACATGGGACAGCCCCCAAAGATGACAGGGCAAATTAAAAAATATATAGATATATATTGAAAAAGGCTTTGACAAAATGGAGTCTCGACAGGGCACGATGATGTCGCGATATGGTGCGATGGAGTCGCGATAGGGTCCCCAGGGTGTGTCGTATCGATCAGCGCCCGCTCGGAGAGGTCCCAGCTGGGATGCAGGGGAGGGCCTGAAGGGGGCTGAGCTCACCAGGCTGCGGCCCCGAGCTGCGAAGTCTTCTCCGAGCGCGATGCTCCGGGAGCCTGGGGCCGCTCCTGGGGCCGCTGCTCACGCCGCGTTGCCCACTCTGGGCTTCAGGATGCCGCAGCTCCACCCCCACCCCCGCATCGCTCTTGACTAATCCGCTGCGACTTCACTTTAGGCTTTGGCCAATGGCATAGCTGGGCGCTAAGCCGTAGGGGGTGCTGCCGTTGTCGCCATCTTGTTTGTGGGTATTGCCCGACTCTGGAACTTCGGGCTCCTGTGGGGGAAGCAAAGGTGTAGACTGCCTCTGGAGAGCCAGAGGCCAAAGGTTAGGGGCCCAGATTCCTTCGCGTGGGCGTAGTTCTATCCTCCCAGCAGTGCCCCTCCTCCCTTTCGGGCTCGCGACTTGAATTGCCCTTCCGGGGGAAGGCGGGCTTGGTTAGCATGGGAAAGTGTGTTTCCGGGTTGAGCCCGGGGCGGTGGGGAAGAGGCGGTGTTTCCGGTGGCTGTCGCTGTCCTAGGAGACTGAGGCGAGAGGGAGCTGTGCGGGTTGGGAGCCCGCACAACCTTCTTCCTCTTCCTCCTCCTCCGGGTGAGGGGAGCGAAGGTTGGGGCCCCGACCCCATGGACCGGGAGCAGGCGGAGGCCGCCGAGAGCTGGGGCCCCGCTGTGCGGCCCTGAGCCCCGGTAGGTGGCCGGGGGCGGCTGGCTGCCAGGCCGAGGACCATGAGCTCAGGGGAGGGGCAAGCGGGATGGGCGATTCTGGGGGTGCACAGGCTGAGTGTTGTGACCCTGTGGTGGAGCTCCTGGCCCGGCCAGGTTAGCCAGTCGCTGCTGGTCTTGTAGGTATGGAGCTCGGGTCCCTGGCTGAACCCCGCTTCTTTCGGGCTCTGGCCTGTCATGCAGCTCCCTCTATCACCTAACAGTCTGACAGACAGACTGGACTCGGGGGGCTCCAGCCCTTCTTCCACGTTTGACCTCTGCAGCCTTGCCCTTAGCTGCTGTCTCTGGTCTGTGGTCTTCCCACCGGAAAGTTGATGCAGAATAAGGGGGGCGGGGTTGAGCACGAAGTGTAAATAATGATAGGAGACCTGCGTTATTCAGAATTTCGAAGATTATGCCTCAGAGAGGGTCCTGAGGTGGCTGCGGTGAGCCGTCAAAAGACGGTGAGACGTCAAAAGAGGAAACCTCAGGCGGGATTCCAGGAAAGCTTTGCCTTCTCTCACCTTATGGTGGTCGTGCCCAACCAACGATAAATGAAGTTAGTGAAGAGCATTAGCGGGCTCTCCTTGTGCTTTAGGTGATTAACAGACTGGAAACTAGGAACAAACTGGAAAGACGACCTCCCAGAACAATCTGTTCATTCTTCCAGCTATTTGGAAAACAGTGTCTGCAACTATAAGCAAAGCTATTCATGGCAGTCTGTTCTGTAACTTTCCCAAGTATCTGAGGCCTTTTTTTTTTTTTTAAGCTCTATTCTTGATTACTTATACCAGCTGAATAGGCACTTTCAGTCGTGCTCTCTCATTGTTCAAACATATCTTATCGCTTTGTACATAAATGGAGTTCCACGTATGTAGCTGACAGACTGAACTATGATACGTCCCCCATCAACCTGAAATATTAAGTAAACATTACCCCCTGCTCTGTCTGAACAGCTGCTGCAACAGAGAGTGCTTTTATTTTGGGTATACTTGTAACGCCCTAAATGCCAGAACTACTGCAAGCGTTTCTAGATTTTCATTTGTGAAGTATTGTGGGGGGGAGTGTTCTCTCCCTGGGTTGTTACCCTTTGATTCTGTAACCAATGATTTAGATCTTGGTGATGTGTTCTGTTGTTCCTACCTCCGGTCAGCAAGCCTTTAACTGGACCCTAGGAGTGATTTGTATCCTTAGGCAATTGTAGGTTTCAGAGGAATGACTGGTTTAGAGTTCAAATGAAATTAGCTCTGCCTCTCTCTTATTCACACTTTGTAAAACACAGTGCTTCTAGTCAGGTTGCTAGCCCAGTGGTGTTTATTACTCCTGTTTTTGAAACCTATTCATTTCTTTTATGCTTCTGTCGCCTACCTGTCAGGCTGTTGATGACAGGTGTTGAGTCACCTTGACTTTAAAATCCTTTTGTGGCAGGCAGAAGTGTGTTGGGTAAGATCCGTACACACACACATACACATGCTCACTCACTCATTCCAGCTTGGAAGGCTAGAGAAGTTGCTGGATATACTTTCTAACTTAGGCTCCATTTCATAATCTCTTGAACATGTCTCTGACCCATACACCTCCTTTCTGCTCTCTGCTCCCTAACAAAACTACAAAACAACTAGAAATAGGAATGGATGGAAGTGAATGAGAAAGATGAAGTTCTTCAGTGAAAGCCTTTTCTTGGGTGGGCCACACCTCAGTTTTGCAGCTGTGTGTATGTGTGTCTCCTGGTGTTAGCACTGATATCCAACCCAAGCAATGCCAGTCAATCTCTCTATATGCTGTGGGGTGAAGGTGGGGTGAGATTGTCAGCTTGTGCCATTTCCCAGGTGTGGCTGACAGGTGCACGTTTAGGACAGAAGATTTTTGAACTGCTTCTTAAGAACACAGTCAGCTCTCAATGTTGCCAAGATTTACATAATTTATACAGTATAGTGAAGTTGTGTAAGAGGGAATTGATGGAAAACCAATTTTTCTGCTGGAAGGGGCCTAAGTCATTCAGCCACTGGCTTCTAGAGTAGCCGGCACACTGCCTGGCACATAATAGGATCTATGTAAAATATTTGTTGAATGTATATATGAATTTAAGCCAGGAATTGCAAATGACTCTAGGGACCAAGGAGGTAACATGGAAGTGTCAATTGGATAGATTTTTAAGATAATGGTGGGGACAGCAGCACACTTGCGAGCGCATACCCTGCCTGAAGCAGTCACATTTTAAAAATTAAGAAATTCTGGGTCAGGCAGAACCCTCAGATCAGTTGACCTTGACAGTCCAACCTCTTCTTTTTATAGATAAGAAAGTGTGTTTGGCTGAAGTAACAGAGCTGGTAGAAGCAGAGCTAGAACTAAAACTCAGATCTTCTTTCTTCTAAGCTGATACTCTTTCTGTTCTACCACAAAAGTGATTTACTCTTAGATTAGCAAATAATGGAATATAAAGTGTTTCAAGTTTATAATGGATTCATTTCATCTCCCTTGCTGTGGTGTTATCCCGATAATTATAGGCTGTGTTAAAGCTCAGGTTTAAAATTTATGGGCATGGATGAACAGTGAAAGGCAGACTTAAAAAATTTTTCTTCCTCTAATGTGTCACATTTTCTCGCATTCCACGTTTTCAGGAATCAATTATTAGTTACTTGGCAAATAATTTCTCTTTCTTTTTAGTGTACTGGTTCCGCCTATGTGGAAGGCCATGGAGAAGAGACTGGGAGCCAAGCCAAGCCCTGCTTCCTGGATTTTATCAAGATATTGTTGGCAGACTCCCGTGAAGTGGTTGAGAAGCCTGTACCTGTTTTATACTTGTTTCTGCTTCAGTGCTCTGTCATTGTCAGCAGGTACCATTTTCTCTATAGATTTAAGCTTTAAAAAAAAAAGAAAAAGGCATTCTGTGTATGAGCCCTTCAGTTGATTTTAAAGACGTTCTGAAAGTTTTTTTCTTGTCAGTTCTTTGGTTGGCATTATTCCTTTCAGAGTATGGAGTTTGAGAAAACAGCAATTTGAGAAAGAATTCTGAGTATGCTGCCATTTTGGGCAGAAAAGCAATCTGGTAAATGATAGAAATGGCCATTGTTTTGGTGGACACTTAGTTTATTGAGATTTATTTGTTTGTCTGTTTTGTTTTGGAACCAAATATTAAATTGGATTCTTTCTCATAAGGAAAAATCGGCATGATCATTTTGAGATTTGATGAAGGTGTAATGAAAAGAAAAAGATTTCAGAGTTGGAAAGACCTGGGTCCTGGGGCTGACTATCCCAATTAATAACTGTAAACCCTTGGGCAAGTTACCTAAAATTTCCAAGGAAGATTAGTCTCTATTTGCCTGGAGCAACAGAGGAAGAAGAAGAGCCAGAAATAGGACGATGATATGGAATGTGTAGCTGATTGCCTCCATGAACAACTGCCTCCTTTACCATGAGACCAGAAGAACTGGATGGTGCCCATTTTGATCAAAGATTCCTTAGAAGTATCCTGATCAAAAGGGGGAAAAGGCAGAAGAGAATTTCAAATTCTCATGGACTCCAGACTTTCTGGAGCCATGGAGGCTGGATGAACCCCTGAAATTTTTGCCCTGAGACAAACCTTAAATCAAAAACATCCCCTGCAGTCTTCTTTAAACCAAATAATAGTTTGGCTTAACTAGTAAAAAATGTCTGCCTTGAGCATTATACTCTTTTAAGAACTATATATAAGATCAAATTGACAAAAGCAACTCAAAAGATTAGATAGGAATCTTAGGGGCAATGAGTTTATGTTAATGGGGGAGGAACAGCTCAGAAAAGGAGGGTGAGAATGGGTGCACAACTTGAAGAATGTAATCATTGTTACTGAATTGTACTTGTAGAAATTGTTGAATTAGTGTATGTTTTGCCGTGTATATTCTCAACAACAACAACAAAATAAAAATTTCTGAGGAAGGATGATACCTACCTCATAGCTTGATTTGTGGGATAATATAATAAAATATAGAATACAACACTTTACACATAAGTGCTTAGTCAGTGGTACTTTGCTCTCTTTCCTTCCTCTTCCTATTCCTTTTTCTTCCCTTCCTTCCACAGCCTACACTTACAGGGAGAACGTGTTCCTTGGTTTTTCGATAGAAAGGGGCCATGCTGATACATTTCGTAAGGTGTGCTTTCCTCCTACAGATTATTTCATCAGGCTAGAGCCTCTTGCCAGGAAACAGTGCCAAGAAGGCTAAATTTCAAAGGAGAGTACCCTTTCTTTCTTCCTGTCAGTTCTTTCATTGGCATTGTTCCTCTCTGAGTTTGGAGTGTGAGAAAACAGCAATTTGAGAAAGACATCTGTGTATGCTGCCATTCTGGACAATGACCAAAAGCCTTTTGCTGTGGAGACCACTATCGGGGATAACTAGTAATCAGGATTTTGCTCCTATAATTGCAAAGTTTTCTGTTGTTGTTGTTTTTACTAGGAATTGGTGGTCACAATATTGAAAATCAAGTAATTACTGTATTTAGCAATTTCAGTAACATCAGCTTTGGTGTTTGTGTTGTCCCGCGGTGGTGGTTGATGATTGCATAATTATAGTGGTTCAAATTGCCGTTGACAGAAAGCTGACCTAAATGTTTTTACCCTAGATGATGTTTTGCTAGAACAGCTGACTATTTCAGGCCAACATTTTATGTAAGATCATTTTAATTAAATAAGTAACAGACTTAGCACCACCACAAGTCAGAAAATCACATTTTTTGAAGTGTACCTACCAGAAACTGGGCTCATTTAATACTCAAAATAATCCTAAAACAGGTAGTTTTATTCTCATTTTATAGATGAGGAAATTGAGGCCCTGAGAGGCAAAATGACTTGACCAAGGTCACACAGCAAGGACATGACAGAGCTGGATTCTAAACCCAGGTTTGTCCACTTTAGAGGTTCTGCTTTCTCTTCTGCTTCTCTGCCTTCTAACCACAGGTAATCTTTTGGAGGACCAAAAAAAAAAAAAAGAACAGGGGAAGTAGAAGCAATTCTGAGTCTTTATATATATTCCAGTTTAGCACTTGGTTAAACATATCATTGGGGGTTCATTGAACTTTAGCGAGCTTGTGAGTTCCCCAGGCTAATCTTTATTACCCCCTTGAGCTTGATGCTTAAAAACAGCACACTGGTGAGAAGATTGATTATTAAGGTTACAAAGGTGGTGGTGTTAGGAGTTCTGGTGAGGATTAGATTGTACCAGTTCCATTTTAGAAAATTCTGGAGTTATTACTGTGGAAGTAGAAGAACAAGAACCATGTGCATTCAAACTGAGGGAACATGTAAGCAACAAATGACAGACATGTTTGTTATGTATTTTAATTTGTAGTAGCTCTTCCAAATCAGTTTTTTTTTTAAAGCAGTATTCTAATAGAAAAAAAAAAGGACATGAATAGACTGTTCTATAAATAAGACATTAAAATGATTTTTATAAAGATGTTTAAAATGTTCATTCTCGTTACTAACCAGAGAATTACAGATTAAAATGAGAAATCCTGTTTAATCTGTCATATTGGTGAAGATTAAAGTAAAAATACCTGGTACTACCAAGGAGTGACATGGTTGCCATCATAGAGTGCTGGGTAGTTTGAACAGAGAGCTTTTGGGCATAAAAATGAAGAACCTTAAAAAAGTTCATATTGTTGGACCTAATAGTTCTCCTCCTAGGAATTCATCTCAAGGACATATTAGATAGTTGTGGATGAGAACACTTATCAAAACAAACAAACAAAAAAAATAAATCTGCCGCCACAGACTCATAACAAATCTATAGGGCAGAGTAGAACTGCCCCATAGAGTTTCCTCGGCTATATATCTTTATGGAAACAGACTGCCACATCTTTCTCCAGTGTAGTGGCTGGTAAGTTCAAACCACTGATCTTTTGGTTAGCCAGCCGAGTGCTTTAACCACTGTACCACACCCATTTATTCTATGTTGCAAAACCCTGCTACAACTTGCCCAGCAATAGAAGGTTGGTGAAATTATACATGTCCACATGGTGGAATATTATCCAGTATCAAAATTTATATTTTAGAAGAATAAGCACCTGGGAAAAATGCTCCTAATGTTAAGTGATAAAACCAGGATACATAATTGTATGTTCACTGTGATACCAATTTTGTGAAAATAAAAAAGTTATTTTTATATAATACGAAACGGTCTGAAGAAAGATATGTAGTTAAATGCTTATTTTTTTTTGAGTAATGAAATTATTTTCTCTTTATACTTTTCTGCTTTCCAGATCTTTTTCAATGTCCATGTATAACTTTCTTTTTTACAAAGGGAAAAAACCTACTTGGAAAAACAACAAAAATCTGTGGGTGGTTTCCTGAGTCAGTATTTTTCTCCACCTGTGAGTTTGTTCAGTTTTTACTCGAGTTCTTAGGTTTTTCCCTGATGAAATACATTTCTGATTGTTTGCTGTTGTCATTTAGCGCGGGGATTATTCCTGAAAAACTAACCAAAATAAGGCAACTGTCCAGTTATCCCCATTCCTGTTTACCACCTAGCAGTTTACCCTGTCTTGCATATGGTAGACTTCTTCTTTTTTTTTTCCCCACTTTTGGCTTCAATGCTGAAACCCCCTGCTAGAAAGCAGTGATTACAATTTGTCTGATAAAAGATGCTCCGAGTTTTTCATGTGGGCCGTTGAATCACTATTTCTGTTTAGTTTTACTGTTAAGCCCTTTGAAAAACAGCATTTTGGACTTGGGGATTATCAGTATCTGGGGACAAATGTGAGATGACCTGAGGAATATAGAAATTCCTGCAATAGACTGTCAGCTTCTTGAGAGCAGAGATTTTACTTGCCTTATATATGCTAGATATCCCTAGCAAGTATGGAGGGCATGGAAATAGTAAGTGTACCATGAAAATATTTGTTGACTGAGTAAATTAATACATAAACAATAAAGGAATTGTCCTTTGAGAGTTAAACTTTAAAATCAACAAACAATCTATCACTTGAGAGTTAAAGCTTAAAATGAACATAATCAGAGCAGAGGTATGCAAAGACACCTGAAGGAGACACTGCCTTTGAGACCAGCAAGATTGTTAAATATATTAATATATTCTAAGGAAAGACTGTGTGCATTTGAAAGGCTGTGTGTACTTGTAGGGTGGGGTTGGGGTGGATGAGAGAGCCTGAACTGGCCCTGGAAGTCTAAAACAAGGAGAGTCTTAGAGGCTCATGTAGGTCTAAAGCTAACAGTTGGTTTTGAAAACTTTTACAGCTGCATCCCAGCTTCTAGGAAGTAGGTTTCACAGTCAGTTAATAAGTATTTAGATTACAAAAGAAGGTATTCAATTCAAAACCCCCCCCCCCAAGAACTTACTAGGAGTCTGATCCTAGGCTAGGCACTCAGGTAATGAGGATAAGTACAACACGCTCCCTGTCCTGGAAGGGCTCACAGTTTAATGGGGGAAATGTATAAACACTATGATGTGGTAAGTAGAAAGGTAGAGGGATGCAGTGTCCTGGAGCCAGAGAAGAAGCATTTAGCCCCAGGGAGGGGAGGTTACGGGGGAGAACCAAGGAATTCTTTCCAGAGAAGATGATGCCTGAACAGAGTTTTGAAGGTTCAATTTGAAGAACTCAAAGGATATTCCTAGACACTGGGAATGCAAGAGCAAAGACAGAAAAGTGTTAAAGAGCGAGGTGTATAAAGCAGTTTAGTGCTGCTGGAATATAAAGAGCCAAGCTGGAATGGTAGCTCTTGGAGAGGTAGGTGGCTTTAGGGTCATGAAGGATCTTGTATGCCTTGCTAAGAAGCTTTGATTTTAATCTTTTTAGGCAGGAAGTCTGCAAATATTTTTTGTGATACACTCTAATCCGTAAA